GGGGTGCCATGTCAGCTGCTGGTGTTGGTCCACTGTGTTTTATCAAGGGCAGGGTCAATGCAGCTAGCTATCAGGAGATTTTGGAGCACTTCATGCTTCCATCTGCTGAAAAGCTTTATGGAGATGAAGATTTCATTTTTCAGCACGACCTGGCACCTGCTCACAGTGCCAAAACCACTGGTAAATGGTTTACTGACCATGGTATTACTGTGCTCAACTGGCCTGCCAACTCTCCTGACCTGAACCCCATAGAGAACCTGTGGGATATTGTGAAGAGAAAGTTGAGAGACGCAAGACCCAACACTCTGGATGAGCTTAAGGCCGCTATCGAAGCATCCTGGGCCTCCATAACACCTCAGCAGTGCCACAGGCTGATTGCCTCCATGCCACGCCGCATTGAAGCAGTCATTCATGCAAAAGGATTCCCGACCAAGTATTGAGTGCATAACTGAACATGATTATTTGAAGGTTGTGTTTTTTGTATTAAAAACACTTGTCTTTCATTGGTGGGATGAAATATGCTAATTTTTTGAGACAGGCATTTTGGGTTTTCATGAGCTGTATGCCATAATCATCAGTATTAAAACAATTAAAGACCTGAAATATTTCAGTTGGTCTGCAATGAATCTGAAATATATGAAAGTTTCATTTTTATCATTACATTATGGAAAATAATGACCTTTATCACAATATGCTAATTTTTTGAGAATGACCTGTAAGGAGGGAGAAAGACTGAAAAATTCATTCTTAAGGTGCTCATGTCCAAAAACCAAAACCTCGGTTTTGTCTGTGTTCAAAAGGAGAAAATAAAGGCTCATCCAGGTTTTTATGTCTTTAAGACATGCTTGTAGTCTAAGTAGCTGGTTGGATTCATTGGGTTGGTCAGCAGTAGGAAGATTGAAGTGCTGTAAAACTTTGTGGTATACAGTTGCGCTGACTTTGGACCTCAGAAAGCACAGTGGACCAATGTCAGTAGATGACATGGCACCCAAAACCATCACAAACTGTGGAAACTTGACACTGGACCTTTATCAACGTGGATACTGTGCCTCTCCTCTCTTCCTCCAGACTCTGGGACCTTGATTTCCAAAGGAAATTTAAAATTTACTTTCATCAGAGAACATAACTTTAGACCACTCAGCAGCAGTCCAGTCCTTTTTGTTTTTAGCTCAGGCGAGACGCATCTGACACCGTCTCTTGTTTAAGAGTGGCTTGACACAAGGAATGCAACAGCTGAAACCCATGTCAGAGTCAGAGATTTTTTTATTGTCGTTCGCACCACATGTGGTACGTTGTGGTTGTGTACACAGGGTCCCAGTTACATCCAACAATAAAAATGTAAAAGAAAAACAATGAAAACATCTAAAATATGAACTAAGAAAAACATCAACTAAATATACACTAAGCACTAATAGCATAAGAAACATTACATCGAACATCAGCACGAACATGAGCATGAGTCTGTGTGAGCAGATGAGCACACATGAACACATCAACATGAAACAGATCAGCAGCAACGTTGAAACAGATCAGCAGCAACATGAAACAGATCAGCAGCAACATGATGTGATTTTTCACAGTGATTATTCTAGTTAGAGATTCATGAGTCTAACAGCCTCAGGGTAGAAGCTGTTCCTCAGTCTAGTGGTTCTACATTTAATGCTCCTCAACCTCCTTCCTGAGGGGAGCGGGGCAAAAAGTGTGTGTGCTGGGTGAGTGGGATCCTTCATGATGCAGGTGGCCCTCTTCCTGCATCTGGAGGTGTAGATGTCTGTGATGGTGGGGAGGCTGACTCCAACATCTTCTGTGCAGCCTTCACCACTCTCTGCAAAGCTTTTCTTTCTGCAGCTGTGCAGCCTCCATGCAACACATTGATGCTCGAGCACAGGATGCTCTCCACTGCACACCTGTAGAAGGAGGTGAGGACTGAGCTTCCCAGACCAGCTCGTCTCAGCCGCCTGAGGAAGTAGACTCTCTGATGAGCTTTCTTGATCAGGCTGGTGGTGTTGTTGCTCCAGCTGAGGTTGTCTTGCATATGTCTTGCAGATGTCTGTGCGTGGTGGTTCTTGAAGTACTGACTCCAGCTGCAGTCCACTCTTTGTGAATCTCCCCCACATTTTGGAATGGGTTTTGTTTCTCGGGCCTCTCCAGGGGGTGGTTATCGCTAATGCTTGTGTAGTGAACTAAGCCTCAGGTCAAATCCTGACCTTGAGGGCCTTCCTGGGACAAGAACTGTATTTCATTGATTTGAGTCCAGAAACACAAAATCAAGTCCATCCAGAGACTTTCTAAGTGTCCTGCACTGATCAATTGAAAGAACACTCTCTTTTTTATTATCATTACTATTTTCTTGATAATCAAAGTGTGTTTAGTTCAAACCATTTTTAAATGTTGAAGTGAACTACTCATTTTAAATCAACTGTGAAACAGTATTAATGAATTTTTAATCCTCATTCAAAGTAGAAATCAAGTTAGAATGTGTTACAGAGTAATTATGCATTTTCTGATTTTCTGTCTGAAATGAGCAAGTGTAAGTTGGTCCAAGGTTGGAGACAAACGCAAACAAGTTTGTTGGAACGAACTGTCATGTTTTTAAATCCTCTCAGACATAAATAGAGAAGCTGGCACCTGTTTCCTCCCAACTCGCCTAAACATTTCTCTTGTCTGTCTCAAAAACATTTTCAGTCTGTTCCAAAACATTTTTCTGTTTTTCTGACTTCTAGTGACCTCTTACGTCACAAAAACACACCAACATTTTTCTGTTTTTCTGACTTCTAGTGACCTCTTACGTCACAAAAACACACCCCTGATTAGCTATTTCGGCCAATCAGGACTTCCCAAATGAACCGGAAACAGAACTCTTTAAATGTCGGCACTTCCTAGTTCCAGCCAGTCGAGTGCGGTGGGAGAGCAGTTCAGTTCGGGGAGCAGAACCGAACAGAAAAAGTGCTGGAGAGAACAGGAGGTTCCAGACATGATCTGAAGTTCTTCCGAGTCTGGTGGGAATTATGCAATCTTCCACATCTGAGTGGAACTCTGACGGACTCACAACTCATGTGAGCCCACCCGTGAGGTGAACGTGTGCTGCACTAAGTACCGTCACTACTCCGGACGTTTCCCAACCATCCTACGGAGACGCTGGAAATGGTAGCGTTAAATGGAACTCCGTACCAGCTGATTCATCTTCAGAGAGGTAACGAGTCGATTTCCTACCGAAGCGTATCGGGGCGAAACTGGGTTCGGATGGAGAGTGCCGTTCTTATACCGACACATAACAACCCCTCATCCATCTTTTCTCTCTCTTTAAACTCCCTCAATTTCCCATCTTTAAAACTCTTCTATCTTGCCAGTAATTATCCAGATATTTTCAGAAATGTCTGGTTTAAAGTTGCAAGGGAAATCATGGCCGTATGGTTTCCTAATTGTAAAGCTTGCTAAATAACTAAGCTATGTTGTTGTTTTTAGAATTTGCCAAATTAATGTAAATGTGTGATATTAAACTTTGATTCTGTTAATAAATGACCGCATTCATTTGATGGGTCAAAGAAAATTAACGTCTCACGTCACATTTAATTTCAATGCACGATATTATTCTGTCCAGAAAAATGAATGAATCCGTTTAATTTATGAATATATCACAGATATATGTTCATCTACATCTGGTGGCCTCGTACGGGTCTCTAAAGAGCTCTACATCTGGTGGCCCGTAACAGGTTCATGAATGGACTGTTATTCGTGTAACAATTGAATTTATCATGTTGGCATGAAAAGTGCAGATTTCTGCTGTGTGAAACGCAGCGTGTTGCAGCTGCGGTGCTCAGAGAAAATACAGCAATGTTCTGTCGCTGTGGTGTTTTGAAAGCTGAAAGTAACGTCAATGTTTCATTTTAACGCTGAAATGTACGTCTGTTGTGTGTAAAAAGCTGATGAGCTGTGAAAAACGTGGATTCTGTTTAAACGGACTGGGGGTTCTGGTCCGGCTCGGTTCTGATAAGTTCGAACGAGTGTTTTAAATGGATGGAGAGACGTTTTTAAGAACTGAGCGCCGTCTCAGTAAGCGTTTGAGAGTTGATTAGTTACATTTTTAACGGAAAATAATGCATTTTGGACAGTTTTAATGACGAAAGTTGACCGGAATGTTCAGGCTAAATGCTAACACGCTAGCTGAAATAGCGAGCAGTGATTGGTCGAAAACCGCTGATTTGGGTAGCCTGATTTGCTGAGAGACGTGTCTGTCGTCACTTCCTCTGATGTCAGGTTGTAAAACCCACCCCCGTTGCTACGCTATGATTGGTAGATTCAGTCACGTGACCCGGACATGAAGCTCGTCTTCATAGGGGATTTCAATCTGCTGTTTAAAGTTGAAAAACGCTTTAAAGTTGGTTCTGATCCGCTGCTCCGTTTCTTTGAAGCCTAATCGCTGAAACTTTGCCACGTTTAAGTTTTAAATCCGTCATTAAATGGTGTTTTTGGACCACGCTAGCCGATGCTAATTTTAAGCTAACAGCTAACGACCGGATGTCACCAAAGCCACAGGAAGTCATCGCGACTCCTACTGGTCATCACTAACAGTGTCAGGGTTAAAATAAAATAAGGTTATACTGCCACCTCCTGTTGGAAACTTGAAATCACGGTTTCACTTCGTTTTTAGGATATTTTGGTGAAATTAAACGTGTTTATTTCTGTCAGAAGCATTTTTGGGTTAGTAAACGTTCTTCAAGCTGAATTATTACTGTTATCTTGCATTTAAAAAGTGATAAAGGTGTTTATGCCAGAAAGGCATTTACCAAGACATTTTTCATTCACTGATAATTCCTCAAACGGAGGTGCAAAATGAAAAATTAGAAACTTTTTAAAGATACAGTCCAGATATTCACAGAGTTGATAAAGTTTACTCATTTGCTGAAAAGATAATACACGTTTAATTGCTAGAACACTAAATAAGAGTAATTATATCAGAAAAAGGAAACTTTTCTGATTTATTTTACCACCTAAAACACCACATCTTCCTATTTAATTTTTAAATAGAAGATAATGGCAGGAGAAGAGGAAGACGTTGACCTTTTAAACTCCCAACCACAAGATGACATCATCCAGGGAGCTTTATATATTTTAACAAACCCGATTGTTGGCGCACAATTAGAGCAAATTGATGGAACTCAAAGAGCTGAAGAACTGAGAAGTTTAGCAAAAGGAGCCACGGTTAAAGAGAATA